TTGCTTGTGTCAATATTAATTTTTTGGAGAGAGAGAGAGAGAGAGAGAGAGAGAGAGATGAATGGTAACTCGTCACGGAAGATAGTGGGAACCTACAGTTAGCAAAAAATCTTAATCTTATGAAAAGGAAAGATGTTAATGAAACCTGAATCAAATAAATAATGATTACGGGACGGGTATAATTGATCAAATGGACAAAGAAATTTGCATCATACAAAAAACTTACATATTTTTATAAATCATATTCAAGTACCGGTATACTAGATTTTTTTTCATGTAACGTGTGTGCATAGGGGGGGGGACATACATGTAAGCTAGAGGGTTCGAAATAAATATTTGTGAGCACTGGTTCGACGGACTAATGACTTCCAATTTTCACTACTTCGTAAAATATTTTACTAGACAAGTCTGCATTCTGCATTATTATTATGTAAACATCATAACACCCTACGCCTACCTACTTTAATGAGATGAAATTTAATTTCAGCACATAAAATTAATTTAATTCCAATTCACCGATAGCTACAGGGGAAAAAATGGAAGGTACGAAACATGTAATATTTTTGTTAAAATTGAATTATGATTAAAAAATACTTAAAGATTAAGTTTAAAAACTAAATAGTGATATAACCTCATCGGCAATGTGAATAAACGGAGCACTTGTCAAGTATTTAAGTAACTTAAAATGTCAATACTGTTTGTATCTTTAAGAGAGAGAGAGAGAGAGAGAGAGAGAGAGAGAGAGAGAGAGAGAGAGAGAGGGGGGGAGGGAGGGAGGGAGGGAGAGAAGAAAAATATTTGAGAATGGTGCTACTGCTAATATTAGTCTTCCGCTGACCTAGTAAAATTAATATAAATTAATATTTTCCGTAAGATTACTATTATTGCTAGTACATAAATTTTTATTACTAGTCTGATAAATATTTATTAGTCTCGGACTTACAGACATTGGGTACTTATGAACCCTGCGTAATCGATCAACCAACCATTCATTTAGAAATAATGTTTTAAGTGACAAAATAAACAAGGCATAGTACAAGTTTATATGTGGAACACTGTACTGTTCAATAGGGAACTCCCGAATGAGCAAATGAAACCGGAAATCTTAAACAGGGATATATAATTATATTGACTTGTACAGATGTCCGAGATCATTAGGAAACTGAATTACCTATCAGTAATTATTCAATATTTAGAAGATTTCCTTTTGTAACAAGAGACATCTGTCCTGTTTGTGAAAAGAAAATTGAAAGTTGATACAACTTTCCGATCGTGAAAACGGGGGGGGGGGGGGCTCAACATTAAAGTTGTTTGTTTGTTTATTTACACTCAGACCATACAATGGTATATGAGGTACATGAACATATTTACATAATTATATACAAAATACAAAGTCAAGCAAGGAAGAGTAGTATCAATTAAATAGTTACTAAAAGCAGGCCAATATCTTTTTAGCTAATAAAGACAGTTTAAACAGTGAATCAACATTTGTGATGGACATAATTTTCTCAATTTACATGAAGACAATACTTCTTATCAATAAGTTTTACCCGTAAAGACAAAAAATTTGGACACTCCATTATATAGTGAAATTCATCCCCCAAAGTATTTTTGTTACATAAATTACATAATCTTAAAGATCTATCAGTATTAGTCCATCTACCTGATTCTACTGGAAGTTTGTGGTTACAAGTTCTAAATTTTGTAATACAATTCTTAAGTCTTTTGGGAGTTTACTTAAGTAAATTTCTCGTCCAAAATTGTTTTTGAAAATCCTGTAATTTAAACATTTAGGTGAATTTTCTATGTTCATATGCCAGTCTTGTAAAAATTGAGTTAACAACGTTTCTTTCACAATAGATTTTAACCATGTAACACTAATGAAGTTTTGATTTATCCACACATAAGACAGGCCACAGGAATTCAAGATATCTCTTATACATTTAAACCATGGGTGCATAAATGATCCGTCAGAAAATTGTTTATAAAGAAAGCAATACATTATGTATGTCAGCTTACTCTCATGTGACATCAAAAGTTTAGCCCAGTAAGTAATCATTCGTACCTTTATACGTATTATTAAAGGATATCGCCCAGTTTCCCCATACACCATACAATTTGGGGTACTGGACTTAACATGCAAAACAAATTTCAAAAATTTCAAGTGTACCTTTTCTAAAATATCTATGTTTTCGTAGCCCCAAACTTCACACCCGTACAACAAAATCGGGCTAATAACTTTGTCGAAAAGATCTATTTGACAATCTACTGGCAAGTTAAAATACCTTATTTTTCTAAGTACTCCATACATTGCTTTTGAAGCTTGTTTAGTTAAGTGTGTTTTGGCACTTTTGAAAAAAAACACTACGGGACATGATAACACCTAAGTATTTAAATTCGTTCACAATTTCAATTGGTGCTTCTCTGTATAAAAATATGTTTTTGGGGATCCTTCCCCTAGAAAAAATTACTATCTTAGTCTTGTCTGTATTTACTTGAAGTTTCCAGTGGTCACAATAATCAGAAAAAATATTCAACGCTCTTTGTAAGTCCTCAGGGTTATCAGATAGTAAAACTGTGTCGTCAGCATAGAAAAGTATAAATAATTTAAACATAATCTGCATTTCATTTTCTAGTTTTTCACTTCAGCTCTTAATCCCTTCAATATTATTCTGCAATAAATAATTTTCTAAATCAATTTTACATATAAGTTAAAAAGAATGGAGATAAACTTTTTCCCTGCCCTACCCCAAGATTATACATGAAAAACTCAATGCATATCATCGATTTTATACCACTATATATATTTTTGATAAATTTTAGATACATTTGTATTTACCATCTATCCCACTTTTTAACACTTTGGACCACAAACCAGATCGCCATACCGTATCAAAGGCTTGCTTAAAATCAATAAATGCACAATAAAGTTTTTTTCTTACTAAACAAGACAAATTTACACATAAAATCTAATATCAATATATTATCTATTGTACCATATCCTTTTCTAAAGCCAGTTTGAGCTTCAGTAATCAGTTCTAATTCATCAGCAAAAGTATTCAAACGCTCACATAAAATGCTTGTAAAAAAATTTCCTTAACAGCTTTGAAATGTTATTGGTCTATAGTTTTCAGGAAGAGGTGGGTCACCCTTGTTTTTATATATTGGCTTGACGATACCAATGAGACATTCCTCAGCCGGTACATAACCAGTATCAAATCACATTGAAAATATCAACATAAAGTGGCAAAAAACTTGATATGGTTGTTCTTATAAATTCGTTACAGATTTGATCATATCCTGGAGCTTTATTATTTTTTAGTTTGTTCACTGCTTGCAAAATTTCTTCTGCAGAGATCTGATAATTTAAAGGAGAGTTATTATCGAGATTAACATTATAATTATCATCCTCTTCATCATCTTTAGATTCATTAATTTTTTTCAAAAAATCGTACATTGATTTGATATCGACTTCCGTTTTACATTTAGTCTTCGAGTTATTTAAAATTCTCCAATATTCCTTAATATTACTTTTCTGTAGATTTTCTAATTTTGAGGTTATAGATAAAGTATGTTCTTTTATACATCTATCCATTGTTTTCTTGTACTCTTTACTTGTGATCTTAAGATTTTCTGAGTTTTCCGGAGTTTTATGTTTGTTGTGAAGGCGTTTAGCCAAATGAAATTTTCTTCTTGCAGTCCTACATGATGCATTGTACCATGGTCTATTTACATTTTGGCTACTATTTAATTTTGGTTTGTTTTTAACATCTAATGTAATTTCCGCTGAAGATAGGAATAAACTACATAATTTGCTAGAGATGTTATTGATATCGTTATTTTGAACAGTATCAAGATTTTCTCTTAGTTGTAAAATTTCAGCATGTAATTCTTTCAATTTCTCGACATCAATATTTTCTTTAAATTGTTCAGATTTTTCCGGATTCCATAAATACTGCTTTTTATTGTTTTGGTTACACGGTTGATCGGTTGAGCGGGTCTCTTCCTTTAGGCTTTCTAGTTCAAATGTTATTGGACAATGGACATCGGAATATAAGTTACAAAAATCGTGGACGTTAACATTGTTAAGGAGTCTAAACAGATATCTGTCTGCAAAGAAATAAATAGATGAAAACTAACTTGATCATTAATTAATTTTAATTCTTTAATTAAACAGGGATAGATATATTCAACGCATAAATTTAAACTTGATTTACTCATAGTTAATTTCAAATCATATTCTGAATTATTTTACAGATATCAATAATATTTAGATTTAAAAAAGATAACTGCCTGGGAATTTTTTTTTCATCAAAAATTAAAATAAGACTGTTTTTAAATGCAAAGTATAACACACAGTCATTTTCACACCACTGCAGCCTCCCCGAGAGCGAGAACAATAGGGACAGTAATTATCAGTAAATGTCAGCACTTGTCCAAGTTTTTCAGCAGGGACAGTAAACGGGTCAGTAATTGTCTAAGTTTATCAGCACCGACTAAGATTGTCAGCACTTTTCTAAGTTTATCAGTACCGGCAGTAAAAAAGGTCAGTAATTGTCTAAGTTTTACAGTAACGACAGCACATTGTCAGTAATTTTCTAAGTTTGTCAGTAAAAAATGGGAATGTCAGTACGTTTTTGACTTAGTAGTGTTTATTGTTTATATTTATATCTGTTTAAATAATCAATTAAAGTAGGATTAAAAAGATTAATTATTGTATTAATGATGCAAACGTCTTGATATGTTTCATTGATGGAACAGCCACTGATTAAGAAATCTGTACAGGCGACCTGCCTACTGTAGTTTATGCAGTGATGAACGCAATGGGGTTTCTTAACAAATAAAGGAGAAAATATTCAGTGGATGTAAATATTTGCACGTAAGAATTTTAAGAGTGCCCCTGACTGCTCGTAGAGTTACGATCAAGTTTAATCGTAACTCGCAAATCGTAACTCTTAGTGAAACACACTTACGTGCTGCGTTCAAGTTTACGTCTACGTTTACGAGCTGCGACCTGTTAGTGAAACGGTCGCCAGCAATATAACATCGGACTTGGCTCCCATAAGTCTGTTTGTAAGGTGATACAGTTGTTTCTGATCCTTGCCCATCTCCACAATTTTGCTTGAATAGTAACTCCTCTTACAGTGAATAGCAAGTTTAGATACCTGGGTACAATGACTGCGAAAAATTTCCTTATGAACAGTCAAATCAGTTCTACGCATTTGTCTCTCTGCCTTTCTCCGCTCCCTCTTAGCATCTCTTAGCTCACTGGTGTACCATGGACAGTCAGGACGAATGGTAATCAATTTTGATTGTACAGGTGCAAGAGAATCTAGAATGTTTTTAAGTGTTGTATTATATAGATTCACAGACTTTTCCACCGAATTTTCGCCTTTCTGTAATTCGAAAGAAGAGCGGATCGAATCGCTTAGGTCACTGGTTACAATATCCCGTAATTTTCTAAATTTAATAGATTTACGCTCCCTTGCCGGCTTGGATAGTGTGAGTTTTGAGCATATGGCTAGATGGTCACCAGCAGGGTTTCCATTCTTGTCGTATAGGCCTGGGTCCGTTACACACGGTTCACCGTATAGGATAGAGCTGCTATCCCTCACTATCACCACATCCAGAATATGGCCTCCAGAATGCGTGGATTCCTTCACGTGCTGAACCAATCCATGATCATCTAAGATCCGTAGAAATTTGACACCCTCAGGATCTTGCACATTATCCAAATGGAAATTGAGGTCGCCGGTAATAATTAATTCCCTGTGATCAACCACCACACTGTCCAGAAAATGGGACCATTCGTAGAAAAAGACAGAATTTCTAAGCTGGTTCTTCTTAGATGGAGGAGGTCGGTATATGATACATAAGCGAGTGAAGTTAATGATGCATTCCAGGTATTCAAAGTGTGTGAACGTATCTTCTCTACTCACAGCTTTAACATCCATGATGCTCTTGTAAACGAGGGCAACTCCGCCACTTCGACCATTACTCCTCGCTTTATGGATAAATTTGTACCCATCCGGCAAGAGTTCTGATATGACGCACTGATCAGAGTCCCCGAGCCAGGTTTCTGTTATTGCAAGTAGGTCAATATCATTTGATATTATAAGATCACAGATAGAACTGGTCTTATTTCTCGCTGATCTACAGTTTAGAGTATAAAGAAACACAGGTCTTGCACAGGGGGCAATAGGTCTTTGGCTTTTTGATGTTATTTTAATAAGGTTGGCTGGTATATCTCCTAGAAATACTATCAGAATTTCCATGCAATTTGTCTGTTTTCTGGCACAATTGGGTTTACCTCTCGTGGTACCCAGATCTTGTAGTGTACACTTTGTGTCCAGAGATACCCTACCTTTGTGACACATGTTGAAAAGTTCACTCCTGGAGTACACTGTCTTATTCTTTCTACCTGACTGAACACACATTGGCCACGATACTAAAAATAGCACAGGTATTAAGTCCTATTGTCAAAAATGAAATGAAATTGTCCTCGAAAATATGCACAACACACAAAAAAATCACATCCAGTAGTGTTTGGATAGGTTCTCCACATCATATACCATGTAACATATACATATACGTACCATATACTGAAAACTAAAAAGATAAGCTCAACTTTATTCAGTATATTTCTTCTCATTGTTTAAAACACACTTTGCACTGGTGAAGATGGGGATCTGAAGAGAAATTTGGGTATGCTTTATTAAAAAAGTTAGAAGCAGGAGCAAATGTTCTGTAACATAATTCAAGCTCACAATAACTATTATTATTTTTATTATTATATTTTTTTTTTCATTTGTTTATATACATATCATACAAAAAAATGTTTACAAAGAGTTTTTTTTTACAGCATACATAGTTTTAGATATAGAAGAACTTCAAAAATTGTAAAAGTCTACATATATTTATAAAATGAATTTAATTTTTGAAGATTCATGGGGTTATGAACTACGACGCTTCACGCCAGTGTAACGTTGAATATTGACCCGCATTGAAAATTGAAACGGAGGTCATTTTTCAACGTTGAATATTGAACTAGGGGTGTTTTTTCTCGGTTGAAAATTGAGACTAAAAGTCGTTAAATTTATACCCTGGGGTCATTTTTCAACAGCTTGATATTTTTTCTTATATATGATTACCCCAACAAGTTGAGAATTGACCTTGGTGAATATTGACCCCACCTCAGAGTTTGAACATTTTTTGAACTGGCAATTAGTTTTAAGGGATTTATCAATATCTCTACATTCATCGTTCGGTTTCAATTTTCAGAAATGAACGTACCATCCCGTGTATATATGTACATTTTGATCTGTACTCGATTTCAGTTATCTTCAAGCATGACAACTTTATTTTTTCACAATACATTTTAAAATTCATAGCATCCATAAATAACTTCAAAACTATGAGTAGGGTATTAAATAAAAATTCTGGAAATCGGGTGTCTAGAAAGTGAGTTCTATATCTATGATCAGGTGGGCAGAGCATCCCATCTAGTCTAATTCAGTATAAAAATCAACAAACTAAAAGCCTAAAAATTAGAATGAAACACGTCGGCGAAAATGAATCCAATGATAGGTTATATTTGTGAAAAAGATCAATATGGAGACCATAGCGTGTAAGTAAAGCTGACTTTACACAAGGTTGGTGAAATCCTTGTAACAAACTTATCAGTCAGTAGCCTTCCTCGGCTTAATCTTGATCGTTTTCGGAGCATAAACTTAACACCGATATAATGGGATTCCTATTCGATAAGTCGTAACTCCTATTCGATAAATTGCTATTCCCATTGGAGAAAATATGACAATATGATTACTATATCATAATATTTCATTCTTTTCTTTTCCTATTCGATGCCATTCATATTTGAAAACACGCGATTCCTATTCGCTAATTTTGTCATTCCTATTTGATAATTTTTTTTTCTTTCTTATTCAATAATTATTTGGGTTATATGCAATTAAGTTGTTATTTGAAAACATACTAGCATCCATTTCTATTCGATAAAAATACGATTCCAATTCAATAAACTTCTGATCTTAATGTATAATTTTATTTCTCCTATGCGATGTTTTTCTTATTCTTTTCTTTAATAACTGAATTCTGGGAAATATGACAAAACTAGAACTGGTTGTAAACTTAATTAAATAAGAATTACATGTTGAACATGATTATCGAATATAAATCAAATTATAATCGTTAGAAATAACAAAATTTTTGAATAGGAATCCCATATTTTAGAATAGAATAACAACTTAAAGGTGATGAATTCTCAAACAGTTATAACCATTTCTAGCACAAGAATAACAACTAATCGAATAAGAATCATATTCATCGAACAGGAATGATATGATTTAGAAAAAGATAAACCGAAAATTTTTGAATAAGAATGATAAAAAAGTATAATAATTCAACGTATTACCCGCCATGTCATATACATGTGATAGCGAAATATTACACTTTACTTTACAAATACTTTTAAATAGATGAATAAGAAATCATTTCTTTTCTTATACAGTAAAGTTTCAGTTGGTTTTTCATCTTCCATAGTCAGTAAAACTTCCAAATATGAAACACTGGTGACTTTAATTTGATCGATTAATTGATTGATTGTATACTGTTTACCGACCCTCTCCAGAGTATTTCACTGATATGGAGACGTCAATTTTGCCGGTGAAGGGCTGCGAATTTAGGCCTATGCTCGGCACTTACGGCCTTTGAGCAGGGAGGGATCTTTATCGTGCCACACCTGCTGTGACACGGGGCCTCGGTTTATACCGTCTCATCCGAAGGACCGCCCAAATAGTCGCCTTTTACGACAAGCAAGGGGGTACTGAGGACCTATTCTAACCCGGATCCCCACGGGGCGACTTTAATTTGAAGTTTAGTGGGATATATCGAGTCGACATATGAACTAAAGTAACTATTGTTACTTGATCATACGTCATCGGCGTATCTAAATGTTGAGTTTAATTCCAACGCAAGTGATTTCTTCTTGTCATGTAAAGTTTTTTTTAAAAAAAAATTCTGATTCTGCTTCATAGAAATATTAAAACAGATCGGCCAATAAAGGAGCACAATTAGTGCTTATCGAAATTCCAAGTTTTGAAGGAAAAATCAGTCTCCGAATACTGCAAAAAAAGGTGTCAATCAGGAACTCCAACCTCCTTTTAATATCAACTTCAGGAAGTGATTTTCGTTGGAAATTTTCCCGAGTTCCATTTCACTGAGAAAGCAGTTGTGTATGATGTAAATATATACTGAAAGGAAAAAGAAACGCAGGGTAGCATTATGTTCGAAAAAATTTTGTCCACATGACCGAAAATTACAAAAATTTAGAAAGAGAAATTTAGTTACTGTGCACTAAAATCAGTATTTAGAATTACTCAACCGTAAAATTTATGACGTCACATAGGTAAGACGCTAAAAAGCCCAAAACACATGCAATTTGATAACGACGAGTTTGTCAACAAATCGAAGTGCATTATTTGATGCATATGAGGTATGCACATCGTTTTTCAATATTAAGAGACGTTATGAATTTCTTGCAATCTTGGCACAGTTTACGGAAGTTTAATGGGGTCTTGTTTTCGAATTACCTAATGAATGAAAAGGGCAACAACGGTTTACTAAGCAGTTTCTTGTAAATTTTCCCTAATAAAACGTGTTACCCATTGTCAGAGAGGGTCTGGAATGGTTTCCAATCCACCGTGACGATGACGTTAACGCGAAACATAACCATGTAACGAGCGGGTTATTCGTCCTGCCATCTCTTAAATCGCCACCTTACTTCCACAAAAACAGCCATTTATACAGAAGACGATTATAATCATTGCATTCATACGAAATTTGAAAGAAAACAAATCCGCAATTTGGTTTTTTGAGCTTACTGTTGTATTCCTCTCACTGGCGCGAGCACGCGGCGTTTGGCTTATTCCTTTGCGTGGTTACCCATGCCAATTATAGCCAGAGTTTGAAAGACAAACACTCTAATGAAATTCCATGCAAAGGAGAAATAAAGCTCTGACAGATGCACGGTAGAGACATTGAAGATTATGAGAGTTCTCGATTTTCACTTTTGGAGGGTATCGTCATTTGAGCTTCAATAACTCATGAATTATTAGTCAAAATTAAATAGGAATTTGGATTTATCTTTTTGAAAGATGATTTTAAAAGTTAAATGGGAAAACTGACACATATTTTAAGAAAAACAAATTTAATTAACCTCAAAAGTTTACCCTGCGTTTCTTTTTTCCTTTCAGTATGTAACTCATTCTTCAATACTGAGTTCAGATGTACGTGTGACCAAAGGGCTATTTTTTTTTAAAATGATCAGTTTCATTACTTATGTACATTAATTGAGTCAGTACCTTTCCTGCTTCTCAAAAAATATCATGGGAAGATAATATGAAGATTTAAAGAGGAGTTATGTGTCCAAATGTTCAAGCGTGTCTGAAATTTTTTGTACGTAACTTGGTGTCCACAATGACTGTTTTTTTTAAATCAATAAGCTATACTTTTCTGGTGTATCCTTTTTGAAGTATATAAACATTAGTTTGCAAGTTTCATTGCATGACTTATTTCTGCCTCATTCCATAATGATAAGAAAATATATTCCAGATTAACAATGGACACCGTTACTTACATAAACACTAAACAAGTAACATATAGCTAGAAATTAACAAGTTGTTAAAATATGGATATAATGATATTAATGAGGTATGATGAAATCAGGTTTAATGTTAAATAATTGAAATTTATTTTAAAAGTCACACTTTTTATTTATAGTTTCAAAAAAGGAGAAATTATGTAAGTTACATGGACACCTAACTCCGCATTTAAGGCTTAAAATAGGAACAAAAAATAATAAGACAACCGAACACTTTTCTTTAACACTTTTAATTTTATTTTAAAGCTTAATAATTGACAAGCTTTCAAAGAGAATTAATGCAGACAAGTGAATTGTCAAATGGATGGCTAAATATACAAGTTTTTTCTAATTTGATTCTTTTGGATCTTTGTGTCATTGTTACGAACATAATTCAGTCACTCCTTGTAAATCTGCATGTAAAATATATATATATATAAAACAAAATACACCATGTGGTAATGAATACCAATGCTGTTCAATTATATTTATTATATATCCTTCAAAACACCAGAAACAAGGCAATTAAAGCACAAACTGTGTCACTACTTCCAATTTTCGTGTCTGTTTACGAACGTAATTGCGTATACGATATGGCAATATTTCAAACAATATTCGATATATATCCATCCTATGATAAGAACAGAACAGAACTAACAATTATAGAATAAAATATAGTACAATGTAAGTTAATCATTAATAGATTATACAAATAATGTT